TCCAAGAAAATAGAAAAACCAGAGTAGAGATTCAAACCCACACTTTCCACCTCCCACATCGGAAGTATTTCACCATGGAATGAAGAATGTGTTTAAGCATATGTCTGTTGCCTTAGTTCAGAATGAGGCTAATGACAAGAACATTTTGTTCCTAGAAGAACGGCACTTATTTGTAAAGGGAAATCATTATTCTCTGTCATAATTCTTTTAGGCTTACAGGTAATACTATCCAGGCAGTTCTGAATAGCTGTGTAGTTATATATCTAGACTATCAGGTAGTTCTGAGTAGCTACACAGAAAAAAGGCCCAATGGTATGGAGCATACAAGGTATCTGAATGGTAGCAGAAAAGTAATGCAGTAAGTTGCATTAAGTGCTCTTACGCTTGATTTTTTTCTCAATTTGCAAAATCTTTTTTCCACCAACCTTAGATGCTTCATGTGCCATTCTGGCTCAGTACTATTCTTATGTTACCTTGCCACACTTCAAAACTGTGAGAACTTCTTCACCACATTTTCCAAGGGATGTTTAGTTTAAAAGCAGGAGTGTCAAACATCCATTCTGTGGGTCAGATCCATCCCATGGAGCTGCTCTGGCAAGCCAGGAAATATGGACATGTGATTAGTAGTGGCCGTGTTCTTCCACAGAATCAGGAGTCCTGGGGTCCTAGTGGACATGGGTGTCAGCAGCAGAAGGGCGAGCAAAGGCTGTGTGACATAGCCCTCGGTTACCCTGCAGCCACTTGGCCTGACCCCACTTGTGCACTTCTGTCACAGCAAGCATTTGCCTTGCCTTGCCTTGCCTTGCCTTGCCTTGCCTTGCCTTGCTGCACAGCCCTGTGGTGGCTGCCACTGCATTGGCCAACATTGCTGATAGAGCATAAGGTGAGTTTAACACTCTGGATCTAAAGTATGCCAGTCAGTATCACTCCATACCTTAATGAATTCATTTATTCATAAGCAAAGTGGATCCATTTTCAGAGTCAAGTTTTCCTTACTGAATGGAAGTTTAGCACAGTACAAATAAACAATTCCCCACCACACACACGAATGAGATCCTTTTGGGAGATTCACTGCTTTGTTTTATTTCCCACTTCATTTTGTGCATCTTGACAGCATTAGACTCCTCAGAATCATGCACATGCCGTTTCAGCATATATTTTTCGTTCCTAAGAGCAAAAATTAGCTTTGGAAAAGTGTTTCACTGCTATTTCTTGTATGATACAGAATTTCTCATTAGACTAGGGTAGCTGACTGTTCTGGTTAGAAATTGCTCAGAGTAGAGCGTTGTGTGTCCCCACTTTTTTTTTTTACATGTTACTGCTTTTTATTGTAATTTCTGTAAAATAATACCTCTGCAGTGGAAGAGATGCCATTTGGAAAATATCACATGAAGTATTAACCTGGACATTTTAAAAGTGCTAAGGAGTATGGTGAAAATTAATATTTACAGTTCATTTTGGACTGAGAACTCAAATGATCTTTTTTTTCCCAAGTAGTGTCTAAAGGAGGCTCTAAGAATACTACAAGACAGAGCAGCCACAATAATCAGCATAAGAACAATTGCAGTGAGTGATGATTGTGAGCTGCAAAGTGGATAATAATTCCATAGCCTATCTGAACTGACTGATCCATTAGAAATGGGATACCAGAAAACAGAATGCTATGCCTTGTGCTCAAGGCCCATAGTTAAGAGGTAATGAGGATTTAGAGTGATCTCTCAAATGTATCATTGAAGTTGGTCATTAGAAAGACCTGCCATTAAGTCCATACTCACTCTTTTAGCTCTCTCATTCTGTAAGTGAGGAAGAAAGATGTAGGATATTCATTTGCCAGTGATCACAAAGCTTCAATGTC